CTGCTCCCCCTCCTTCCCAGGCTTGAGAGCCTGGGGGGAGGAGGCAGGGCTGGGGATTTGGGGAAGGGGCGGAGCTGAGGCGGGGCCGGGGGTGGGGTAAGAAAAAAAACAGGGGGGGCGGCCAAAATTGTTTCTGCTTGGGGCGGCAAAAATCCTAGAGCCGGCCCTGCCCTAGCCTCTGTTTGCCAGAAGCAGGGAATGGGCAAAATGGGATGGATCACTTGATCACCTGTTCTGCTCATTCCCTCTGAAGCAACTGGCATTGGCCACTGTCGGAAGACAGGATACTGGGCTAGATGGACCTTTGGTCTGACCCACTATGGCCATTCTCATGTTCTTACCCCAACACACTGCTTTCTACACTGGCTTCCCAAAGAAGACAGTCCAGTTCAAAAAGTCACAGTCCTGATTTTCAAAGTCCTACACAGAACTGGTCCCAAACCCCTGAGACCACATATCTCCCTGTGTGACAAGGACCTCCCAGCCACTGTGTTTTCATGGGAAAATGATACTGTCGACCAATAGGTGTAGGTTTGTAACTATGGGAGACAGGGTCTGGACTAAAAATATGGAACTCACTTCCAGAAGAAGTCAGAACAGCCACTAACCTCAATGTATGCAGAGCCAAGTATAAAACCCATGTCTTCCCCTAGACTTTCCCGCAATAGTGCCCTCATTCTCAAATTCATTCTTTTCAGAAATACTCTAAGCCTGATACTTGGTGGCAGTGAAAGAGAAGAGAGAGAGAGATCATTGTCACCTTTTTAAGTAATAAGAGGTGCCTCGACACTATGAAGAGGAGGGGCCTGATAAGTACCTAGGTAGGTAGCTTCCTTCCCTCAGCAGGGGAGACAGACCTGAGAAGAGCAGCAGCTGGGTGGGAAGGCTCATCGGGGATAGCTTGGGCCAGGGCCCTCATGGTTCCCTGCTAAAAGGGAGCCAAGAAAGGAACTGCCTGAGAAGACTCAGAAGACGACCTGGGGAAGAGCAGTCATCAGGGATCTGCAGCGAAACCACTGGTGGCTCCCTGCGGCAAAGAATCAGGAGCAGAGTCCATGAGGGGCTCAGTAGAAGACTGCAGGAAGAAGCCAGGGAGAAAGCCTGAACAGAGCTAGATATAAGCAGAATGTGGCCCTGGGAATCATGAAGCAAGCAGTTGGGAGCTGAAGACAAACTGTCGCTCTACAGTATAGGGAGGTCCCAGGGGTGAAATCTGGAATAGAGGGACTAGAGGCAGTGGGGGAAAATGCAAGACAACAACTGGTAAACTTAGACAACTGAGAATGTAATGGAAGGAAACAGAAAAGGCACTTACAAGCTTCACTACTGGAAATCCGGTTCGTGCGAAGACAAGCAGCAGCTGCTGGAATTTTTTGGCATAGTGGCTCACACGCCCAGCTGGCCAAGATAGGGCTCAACTCCATGAAGCCTTAGCAAAAGTCTAATTAAAACAAGCTCATACTGCTTCAGACATTGCTTGGGAAACGGCTGAGTTTCACCATGCTGCCAAACACCCTTTTTTGGATCAACTACAATTCCTGTAGCTGTGGCTGACACCATAGGCAACCTTTAAAGGAACACACGTCAGTGAGTCTGTATGCGAGAGCGGTGAGGATGAAGACACATTAGAGGAAGATGAAGAGGCACAGGAGAAAGAGAAAAGGAACCACGACTCTTGGGGCAGGAGCTGGAGAGGAGCTGATGAGAGGGTCTAGGAATGCCTGGCTGTCGTGGACCCCTGCAGCCAAGCAGTAAAAGGACTATTGATGCAAGGGGAAGGATTAATGCCCACACACACACTGGGCAGGGATGTGGCCTGAATCTTGCTTGTTCTTGTTTTGACTTTATTTGCCATGGCAGAGGATGATTTGATTTAGCTGGAGGGCCAAATCATCCTACTGGCCTGCAGGAGACAGCCTCTAGTGCAGGGGTTCTCAACCTTTTTCATTCTGAGGCTTCCCACTCCCAACATGCTATAAAAACTCCATGGCCCACTCGTGCCACAACAACTGTTTTTCTGCATATAAAAGGCAGGACCAGCATTAGGAGGTAGCAAGCAGGGAAACTACCTGGGGCCCCACACCACAGGGGGCCCCATGAAACTAAGTTGCTCAGGCTTCAGCTTCAGCCCCGGGTGATGGGGCTCGGGGTTTTGGGGCTTTGGCTTTCTGCCCTGGGCCCCAGCAAGTCTAATGCCAGCCCTGCTTGGCGGCCCTCCTCAAACCTGCTCACGGCCCCCCTGGGGGCCCCAGACTCCTGGTTGAGAACCGTTGCTCTAGTGGACAAACTTAGGCACAGCCTGAGGCCTGGTCTACACCAAAAACTTAAGTCAACCTAGCTACTTCACTTAGGGTTGTGAAAAATGTCATGCCACTACATTTGAAACTCTGATTTTCATCACTGTGATCCTGATCTGGTTTTGACATGTCAATACTAATTTTTACTGTGGTGAGATGAGAAAAGGGGTGAGGTGGGACAGAATTCAACCCTAATGTCCTAGCCAACCTCCAAATCAGGTAATTATATTCTACCTAGCTAAACTATCCCAGCAATTTCAACTGCAATCAGAATTAAAGTTCCATGCTAAAACTTGCATGGTGTACCTGTGCAATGTCAAATGGTGGCTACATTTCAATAACGGATGAAGAGATTACTGTGTGACATTCAAAACACGTTGGAGTCCTTAGGATAGAGGTACTACATATAAGGAAGTGTATTAGCATTTGGTATGGAAGCTCACTGAAATTACATTCAGGAGCTTTAGCAGGAATTTTAAAACTACCCCTTACAGGAACAAGGTCCTTATATTGTGTATGTGGAAAGTAGTAGGTAGTCCTGTGTAAACATGGCCCATGTTGATGAGGGTAAGAATAACGGATGAAAAAACAGACACGTGCTAAGCTGCTTGCCCAGGAATGACTGAATTAAAATGAAAAAAAGGATTGGAGTTGGCTTTCCAGGAACTTGTCAGAGAGAGATATTTAAAGCTACATTCTCATCTTGCTGCACGCATTATTTCACACACACTCCGTGCTGGGAATCTGATACTTCGTACACTGACATATTTCCTAAATACCACTGGTTAAAGGGAGGGGATTAAATAGAACGTTACAAACTTCTTCAGTTATCTTAGAAATATTCAAGAACTGGCAGAAATTGTAAAACTATTATAGAATGCAAGGGAGTAAGGCCTGAAATTAGCACTGGCAGCAGCCTGTAGATTACTGAGCGTGATGAGACAGGACCGGACCATTTTGCCATATTTCTGTAGCTGAAATACATGTTACTTTTCCTTTAAAAACTAAAATCAAGCTACTGATTGCAGAAGAATATTTTGCCTCCCCGTGAAGTAGTTGTAATTAGTTGTGACTTTATTAATACTTTCACCCAGAAAGATGCTACAGCGCTTTACAAGTTTCACTCACTAAGCTACATAAGCACAAACAAGAATCACTTCCTCCACTGCTGAAATACAGCCAACAAGTGAAATGTGATAGTACTTTAACTGCACGCAGCTTTCCCTTTGGAATGGCAAAGGCTGGTTGCAGCTCACCCTGAACTCAAAAATGCAGCTCCCTGTGCCACAAGGGGTATGTGTTGTTTGAGAAAATGCAAGATGCTTTCTTCCCTAAGAGGTAAGAATGCTGAACGCTCTCAGGCACAACTAGCACAAAGAACAAGGGAAAAGCACAGGATCTGGACTCCGAGCCCTCTGTGGCAAACCAGGCCAGCAAAACACACGAATCATTCTGGTATATACAAAGCAAATGAAGAAGGCATACAGCTGAAATCTGCTTTTCTAGTCCTTCGAAATTCTATGCCAGGTCTTTTTAAATTCCCAGTTAGTTTCCTGCTTTAACAATGTCTTTGTTGTTAAAATGAAAATACCTGTAAGCCTTCCCTGGACACACAAACTTTCATTATCAGTAACATTAGAAGATCTTGGCATGCATTCGTTGTAAAAGAATGGACACTACTGAAGCAGGCAAAAACAGAGCTTCCCAGCCTCCTGCCAATCTGAAATTCTCTCTCCCCTGTTCTAAAGGAGGGTTAGGCACTAGCAAGAGAGGATAGCAAAAGGAGGACATATGTACTAAGGCTAGGTCTACACTACAGCGGGGGGTCGACCTAAGATACGCAACTTCAGCTACGTGAATAGCGTAGCTGAAGTGGCGTATTTTAGGTCGACTTACCTGGCTGTGAGGACGGTGGCAAGTCGACCGCTGCCGCGCCGCCGTCGACTCCGCTACCGCCTCTTGCCGCGGTGGATTTCCGGAGTCGACGGTAGAGCCATCAGGGATCGATTTTATCGCGTCTTCACTAGACGCGGTAAGTCGATCCCCGATAGACCAATTGCTACCCGCCGATCCGGCGGGTAGTGAAGACGTGCCCTTAGACTGCTGATTTCTAACCTCTTGCATCATTCTAGTGACCTGTTTCTGTCATACCCATTTTATAATAAAGGTAACACACACCCATGTTCTGCAGTGCGTTCAGAATGTCCTCAGATTTGTAGTAGATAGCACTACTTACCACCTCAACCCTGGAAACAGTCATTGTCAGTTTGCTGCTGCACAGCCAGCAAGGGAGCTCGGACACTTAAAAATAACCCAAACAAACAGGTCCTACAGAAACAGTGGCTTTCTTTGAAGTGTCAAGTAGTTTCACTCTTGGCAAAAGAAGGTTGCATTGTTAAAATATAACAATTTGGAAACCACCCTCCAGAACATCATGTTAAAGTAGGTAAAGTTTTGGTTTTTAACTGTATGGCAGTATCAACTTAAGTACACAATTGTGTAGGACTAGAAATAGGCCAGAGACCCCATTAGTTTGGAAAAGCACTAGAACCCATTGCCCTATAAATCAGGCAATTCGCATTTTAGATTGTTAGACCCCCAAATAATCCATCATTGGTTTGGGTTGCTCCTGTTAGCAAAATATTTATTTTGCTCTTCGCCTCAGCACAATGATTTGCTTTGAAACAGATCCCTGTTCCTCCGTCACACTACCTGCAACCCTCTGTCATGTCCATCTAATTGCACTTTCAGTTTGTGAAGCTCTTCAATCTCCCGGTTATGTCGCTCCGTTTTGTGCCGCACCAGAGAACGGTAGAAGTGAATGGTGAAAACAACAAAAATCAGACCCACTGGCACCATGATGATGGTGGAGACCAGAGCTGCTTGCCAGCCCACATGGCCGCTGGGCTTTTGGATGACGGTAGTCTCGTTTTTCATAATGGAGTCCACAGGCAGAAATTTTATCCAGCACAGAAGCACCACCTCAGCGAGGAAAAGGAGGATTCCCAAGACTGTGGAGAAACCCCAGGCCAGCTCTATGTAGACATGCATGCGTTCGTGTGGGGATTCGCTGATGGAGTTTAGGTTGTGTATGTTACTCACCGCTTCCACGTTAGGTAGTATACAGGTGCTGATGAGAAGGGCGAAGAGATGAACTGCTACCAGCACTGTTGTGCAGGCACTGAACGCAATCAGCAGCATTTGGGGGTACTGATACTGCATCTCTAGTTGCACCTCCACCATAGCAACCTGGTGGGAAAAAAAAGAAAAAAAAAAGGATGGTCAGTTGCTAGAATTCCCATATTTCACTTTTCAAGACTCCAGTTCAGGAAAGCATCATTATTCAGAGTGCTTAAAGCACATACTTTAGGCCCCAGTTCAGGAAAGCACTAAATGGATCACTCCTTTTTCTCCTGAAGATGCATGAACAGTCTGTATCTTTCCCTTTCTCGAGGCTTACACACAAAGTTACATCCAAGCCCACAGGAAATTATTTCAACATTGCACGGTTGGTTTTTTTTAAGCAAACTCTCCCTTAAATTGTGACCCATATGAACAGCATCAAACAAAAGGCTCAACAGCGGAATTTATTAGGCAGCAAGTGTAACTTTGGCACAGATAACAGCGCAGCCACCCATGTAGTTCATCACATAGTTTCAGTTTGCATCATTAGTAGTCACATGATAGGAAACACTGACTTCTGGTGTAAAAAGGGTTAAGTCAGAAAAGTTGTAATTCTGGTCATTGGATCGGTGATACTATTTCTCAAGCTACTGAATAGTTTAACTATTCCTTGGTTAAATGGGTGCCTCCTATTATTTTAAATCCTTATGTCACCACAAATATAGCCAGATAAAGGAAATTATTTCCATCCAGAGTATCTTTCTCAGTTTCCAATAACTACTGAATATTCAAGAGAAATGGATGATAGCTGCGTTATGCATGCTTAGTAACTCCATATAAGTGCACTTTTGTTTCCAATGTACTCTACAGAAATTAGCTTCACAGACGCTCACTTTATAAAGTGTATTTGATCATTTTGCCCATACACGGTTGAGTTTTATCACTTCATTAAGTTAAGCTCCATGTAAAAAATAGAATGGAGTATGTTCAACAGAGCAGAGGATTGGGTGTCAGGACTCAAATGCCAGTCCACCTCTACTACTGGCTTGCTGGGTGAAATTGGGCAAGTCACTCAACCTCTCTGTGACTCAGTTTCTCCATTTATAACAAGAAAAATACTCAGCATAACTATATCCCAGGTTTGCTGTGAAATTTAATCTTTGTAAAGCACTCAGAAAATCAAGAGTTACGAGAAGCTATGTAAGTGCAATGCCCCTGTATAACAGTAGCAGTCAGATACTATATGTCTCCGCTAGTCAGCCTCCAGCATATTGTTCAAATTTGTTTGCAGCTGTATTTATTGATTTTACACTGATTAACAAAGCGTGTCAGTAAGCAAAGCAATAAAAACAAATGTGTTGGCTCATACTCTCCCTGATCTTGTATTCCAGTGAGGCCCCATCACCCATGTCTGTTAATAAAAGAGGATCAAACAGGGATGGTTTTTGGATACCAGCACCAGATCAGTCCCTGTCAGGAGGGACCTCAGTATGTTTACAGGAGCTTAGTGGAGGCAGAATGAATAGCTTGACCATAGCACTGGGTGAATGGATTTCATTGGGCCAAGTGTCCCCACTTTTACAACGGTTCCATTTGAAACATGTCTTGAATAGCTGTTCCAGGTTCTACACAATACCTCAATTCATTTATTGTGGGGTTCGTCCTATTAGCAAGACCCTTTAAAATGCATTGGGATACACTCCTGTTTCCACTCATGTTAATGGAAGCTCTGCAGTTAATTTCAGCGGGACAGGACTAGGGCCTAGGCTAGGGTGACTGCCCTTTCTACCTACCATCTACTCTGAAACCACCAGCAGACTGATTAGAAGCTTGCAGGAAAGTCGTATTAGCAAATACATACAGCATACCAGTGTACACAGGTGACATTGTTATTTTTTATTTAGCTGAACAAAACCTGTTCCTACAGTGACTGAAACTGTGAATCTCCATGTTCTTGGACTTCCAACAAATTGGAGAGAGTCCAGAGGAGAGCAACAAGGTTAGAAGGTTTAGAAAACATGACTTAAGAGGAAAGGTTAAAAAACCTGGGCACATTTAGTCCTGGGAAGATGATGACTTAGTGGGGACCTGCTAACAGTCTTCAAATATGTTATGGGCTGTTATAAAAAGGATGGTGATCAATTGTTCTCCATGGTCACTGAAGGTAAGACAAATCATCAGGTTAATGTGTGACCAGGAAGAGATAGGCTAAATACTAGGAAAAGCTTTGTAACTATAAGGATAGTTAACCACTGAAACAGGTTACCAAGGGTGGTTGTTGAATCCCAGTTATTGGAGGTTTTTAAGAACTGGTTAGATCAGTGATACTCAGACCTCAGTGGTTCAGGAGCCAAATTAGTGATCAACATTACCCAAAAGAGCCACAGTAGTGTAAATTCATGGTTTCATTTACTATAGTACTATTCATATTTAAACAGTATGACTGGGGAAATATTTAGTGTCTGTGTATATTATATATAATATATGTTATTCTCACAGCAAATAAGGCACATTAAACAGCCACTTGCAGCTCACAAGCCACAGTCTGAGTATCACTGGGTTAGACAAACTCCTGCCAGGGGATGGTCTAGATATAGTTGGAGGTGTCTCAGCATGGGGGAGCTAGACAAGATGACCTCTTCAAGTCCTGTTAGTCTTACATTTCTATGACCATATGATTCTCATTTCAGTAAATACATCTCAAGTGTTTTGGATACTGAGTCTCCTGAAATATTGTATCCTTTCACTAGTGTTTACATACAGCTTTCCAGGGCTCTAAAAATGAGCTCTCTTCATATGTTGACATGATTAATGAAGGTATTAGCTTTGCCATCCATTACAAGCATGAATCTTTTAATCAAAATATATGTTTTGTTAGAAATATGCTTGCAGACGTTCTCTCCTTGTAATTCTCTCTGTGTTGATTCAGCGAGGGACCCATCAGCCCTCAACTATTTGAGTTCCAAAGTGAAAAAGGACTCTCATTCTCCACTTTGCTGTTCTACCATGCTGCATGTCAACCACACCATATTAGACTGGAAAAATTATACAGTTGTTTGAGGGAGGGTACCAGACCCAAAGGGCATATACAGTGTTCAGCATATTGGACAGGAATTTTACCTATATATAGGATTTAAGGCTTTTTATTAATCAACCTGGCTTGCCAAAATATCAATTTCCACTTGCAATTGCTATCCTTTGTGCAGACAACAGTTTCCAGTTGATTGGGTGCTCCCTCTCACGCTAACGTTCCCTAAGGCTGGCCTTAGTGGTGTGAACTGATGAATCTTTAAGATTGACTGATGACTCTGTGATATTTCACAGGTAAGCAACAACAGTCCAGAGGAAGATGGACGACTGGAGGTGGAAGAAAAGGAGGAAGAGATTTTATTTAGCCCAAACAAGTATTGAAGAAACGCAGTCTCCTCTTAGCACTTTTCCCCTCAAAGGCTGTCGTTACTCTCTGGTCAAAATCAGAGAAAAAGGACAAGCTAACATGCTAGAAGTCCTGGTAAATGTTTCAGTACATGTAATTCAGCATAGGGTCAGCCTGGTAAAATTTTCCATATTAGTCATTTAGTCAAGTTTATTTTTATACCTAGAGTTTATTTTAATCTCTCTGTAAAATAAAATATTTTACTGGAAAATTTAGACAGCTCGAAGTTAGTCTTGGAATCGTTAATTCAAGCAGTCACTGGTGGACATCTTTGAGAGAGAGAATAAACTCTGACCTTGAGGGAGGCAGGCAGGCACAGGATCAGACCATTTAAACACAAGAGTTAGGGCAGAAAGGAAATTGCAGTTTTCTTCTTCATATAGTGACATAGAATGACTGGCAAGGACCATTGAGAGCGCATAGCCTCTGGGTTTCTAAACTGTAGGTGTCATTAGGCTCTCAATATTTAGCATAGTGTTATATCAAACACTACATTGTCTCACCCTGGCCTCAGGGCCCTATACTCCCTTAACTTGCCCCTGGAAATGTAGCTAGAGATACCTAGAGTTCGATCCCCCAATTTGCTGAGCAATTTGCCCTGACACAGCAAAGAACTTAAGCATGTGCTTAATTATAAGCTTGTGAGTTGCAGCATTGAAATCAATGGGACTACTCATGCATTTAAAGCTAAGCAGACACTTAAGTTTTTTGCTGGGCAAGGCAAAGGGCTCAGGGTCCTTGCAGGATTGAGCTCTTGATTTGTTTCTCCATCATCACATCATTTAGTTCAATATACTCCCTGGCTTCTCCATAGCACAAATTACAGAGAACCCTCTTACCTTCAGAAATGGGGCTAGGACTGATGCTGTGAGGCAAGATGTTGACAGTAACTCTGAACACAAATATATTACTGTCAGGCACATGGTTGGGCAGCCTCTGCAAATAGGCCAGTAGATCTACTGGGGGCGGGGCGGGGGGGGGAAACCTGGACAAATCTCAGAGCAATTTGACAACAAGCCAAGGAGGCTGATTGCAGAAGCAGCTGTTATCTCAGACAGGAAAATGATGAAGGGGATTTCTGAAGAGCTTTCTTCTTAAAGTGAATGTAGTGCTAGACTGAGAGCACCGGTACCGGAGGCCCTCTGTTTGCAGTGGTCACAGGCCAGGTGCAGTGACAATGCAGACCTTCCCCACCTGCCCTGACAACATGCCTCAAACTAGACCTAGAGGGAATATACCTACAGGAAAAAGAGGAGCTCTGTCTTCCTGACCTGTTCGGTCTTTGGCCTCGCCGCTAAAACGGCCAATAAGAGCATCAATTAGTGATGATTTGTGTGATAGGATGCCTGCCCAATAGGAATGGGACCCAGACCAGCAGCTTGTTTCACATAGATCATTAAACAGCTATCAGCTGGTAACAATTTTAAGCCACTACTGATCTGTGTTGAATTGAAAGCAGCAACAGGGTGGTGAAAAGATTTGAATCCGCGTCCCATACTACATTATTTTGGACTTATTTTATTTACATATTTAAATATACATAAGACTTTGGAATACATTTTACTTCCATCAATAGCCAGATTGTTGCCTCTCTTAGGACAGAGTACACAGCCTGCTTAATAAGTATTTGCCTACCAAATTACTGCAGCAGAAATAAATTGGCTGCAAATGATACCATGGTCGTTAACTGGGATGCCCAATTCTATCAGTTGGAGAAAAATTAGTAAAAAACTTGCACAAATTAAAGGAATCCCTATATTCTGAAAGTTAGGTTTATGAAGAAAACATATTGCTAGTAATACCGAAGACCAGAGATCCCACTTCTTTGAATGTAAACGCACGCCATCTCATTTTGGTCTATTTTCGTTCCATTTTTTAAAAAAAATATACCCAAACAACCAGTACTCCTTGGAGTCAGCTCTGAAGTTCTCACAACAGTTGCACTGAAAAAAAAATCTAACAGATCCAATAGCACGAAGTGAAGTGGATAATTTTAGCAGAGACATCTAAACACCTTGTGAATATGCCATAAATAGAAGTCAGATGGTTTATACTGGATATTTGCTGAGAACTTTCCATTGCTGTTTGTGTTCAGTGAGTTGAGAAGTAGTGTTTTGTTTTTAAAGTGACCACTGTGATTTCCGATCCTGCAAACAGATCTATGTGGGTAGACCCTGAGCCCAGGAGCAGTTCTGTGAACTTCAGTGACACTCCACAGGGGCATAGAAGGTCCGTTTGCCTAGATCAGGTTGCAGAATTCATTATAGCTAGGATAATGACACTGTTCTTACTACAAAATTCTCTCTCTAAAGACATACAATAATTATGCTAAATACTACTAAAAGGAAGCAGATTTTACCTATAGATTCTAATAGTGCCTAATAGCCAAATTCTTGTAAGGAAAACAGAAAGGAGAATAAACTCTGGCAAGTCACATGCAAAAGTACAACCAAGCCAAGTAAAATGTATTTTCAAATAAAATAAGGCAGGCTATGAAAGAATTTGAAGGGCAACTAGCTAAAGACACACAAACTAACAGTGAATTTTTTTTTTTTTAAGTACATCAGAAGGAGGAAGCCTGCCAAGCCGTCAGTGGGGCACTGGACGATGGAGGTGCTAAAGGAGCCCTGAAGGAAGACACGACCATTGCAGAGAAGCTACATTAATTCTTCGCATCAGTCTTCACTACAGCAGATGTGTGGGAGATCCCCACACCTGAGCCAGTCCTTCAAAGTGACAGATCTGAGATGCTGTCCCAGATTGACGTGTCAGCAAAGGAGGTTTTGGAACAAATTGACAAATTAGTCACCAGGACCAGATGATATTCACCCAAGTATTCATCTAAAAAATATGTATTAGAATTGGAAAAAATACAAAGAAGGGCAACAAAAATGATTAAGGGTATGGAACAGCTTCCATACGCAGAGAGATTAAAAAGATTGGGACTTCATCCTAGAAAAGAGACAACTAAGAAGGGCTATGATAGACATCTATAACATCATGAATGGTGTGGAGAAAGGAACAGAGAAGCAGGGGTGCTGGAACAATTTTTATAGTGGAGGTACTGAAAGCAGAAACCACATATTTGGTTGTTATTACTACTTCAAGACAAGGGGTGCTGCCGCTCCCCTAAGTCCCTAGTTCCAGCACGCCTGGAGAAAAGTGTAATTTCCCCCTTCACATAAGAACTAGGTGTCACCCAATGAAATTAATAGGCAGCAGCTTTAAAACAAATAAAAGGAAGTTCTTCTTCACACAATGCACAGTCAACCGGCGGAACTCATTGCCAGGGGACATTATGAAGTCCAAAAGTATAACTGGGTTCAAAAAAGAATGAGATAAGTTCAGGCTATTAGCCAAGAGGGTCAGGGATGCAACCCCATGCTCTGGGTGTCTCTAAATCTGACTGACTGACAGATGCTGGGGACAACAGGAGCTGGATCACTCAATATATTGCCCTGTCAGTTCATTCCCTCTGAAGCATCTGGTACTGGCCACTGTCAGAAGACAGGATACTAGACTAGACCCAGTACGGCCGTTCTAATAACCAACTTATTAACTATTGATTTTTACACTCAGAGCCGTCTCTTGGGTAGGACAAATTGGGGCAACCGCTCTGGGCCCCGCGCTTTGGGGGGGCCCCCCCGCAGGCCAGTGCGATTAGTCGGCTCAGTCGGTCCCAGAAGACATAGGCACGGGAACTAGGGGTGAGGAGGATGCTCCACCTCCTCACTACCACACATATCTGCTGTGCATGCATAGGGATAGGAGTTTCAATTCCATCCACCAATGAGTGAGATCCAGAGGTTTGATAAGGGGGAGGTTCATCACTTCATCATCTTATGCAAGTGTTCTGTTTATGCCAAAGACTCTTGCTGGCTGCCAGTTAGCGACCGATCAGCCGATACTTTGGGGCCTGGGTTTGGGGGCTCCCCGAGACTATTTCTAGGCAGCTGATATCACAACACTGCAACAAGGGTCTCGAGAGAGCTGCCCTCTGTGTTAAAACTTTTCAACAGCAGACCAACAAAAACGCACACACTCCGATTCCTTACCACCTAATAAGGAAATGGAATGTCCTGCTCTATGTACAGAAAACAACCCCTATTAACAGAGGAAGGTTTTACACAACTCAACATTCGCAATCCAGCAACTAGAAATACATACCATAGCAAATCCAGAGAGCAAAGCAGACGTTCTGCTGGACGCTTTGAGCTTGGCTCGGCTCAGGTACAGTTTTCTCCATGCGAGGGCCTGAACAGAGTGATGATTTGAAGTGACCAATTCCAGATAGCTACGCCGGACCCAGTCCCGATAATCCATGCCCTTTGTGCCAGGTTCAGAGCTGCAGGCAGAAGTGGCAGGATCCGCCGGGACATTTAACTCGGAGCTCATGATGAAAGCAATGCTAGAGAAATAAAACATTTGCATGTTCAGGACAGCAACAACAGAAAGAACAAGTATGAGCTATTGAACAGGAGAGGGCAATCCCAGAGACTGTTTTATTAGCCTGATTTGTAGAAGATGTATGGATAGGAATTCAGTAAAAAGCTACATTAAAAAAAAATTACCCTCAGGAGGTAGATGTAAACTAGATTGCATGGCATATAGAGCTCTAATCTCTACTCCCTGCTCATCTGTAATTGCTGTGAATGCCTATGGGAGTTACAAGGGGAAAGACTACATAAGTAAGGCTGTGAACTACTTTCAGCATGAGTTCAGGATGGGCTGGTGACCGTTAACCTTTGTATCTCTAGGTTGCTGCCAGTTTGCATTTCAACTTTAAACCATTGCTTAATTCTGCCCCCCCACCCCATTCTTGTTTGTTTGTTTTAAGATGGTTGCCCTTATTTTTTCCATCTAAACCTTGCTTGTTCTTTCTACTTTGTTTCCAAAGTGACACAGTTTAATTCCATGCTGCATCATGGGTGTGTCTCAAAAGCTTCTTATTAAAGCACTGCTGTAATATCGGCTACTGCATTCAGTGTGTCCATTTTAATTATTTTCTAAATTGAAGCATTTTCAATTAAATCGCCCTGAAAGAGATGGCAATTTCCTGCAGTATCCTTGAAAAACCTTATTGAATTAAATTTAAGTAGCTTTGGAGTTCATTGTATCAAAGGCAAATTTTATGTATTAACGTGGGCTGGGATTGTGCAGTATCGTTGGGGGGGGGGGGGGGGAGATGGGATTTCAACCTGGGAAGTTTTATGAACTTCAGAGGACTATTTTCAACAATGGGCCAGACAAAAATGGACTTTTGGACAAACAGTGTCAAAAGGGTTGCCTGGGGAATCTCTAGGGGGAAGCAAATGCAAATTCCCACCTCCAGTTTGGCAAAAGCCCAGACTTTTGAAGCTACATCCTGAAGGGAGGACCATGGTCTACTGATTACCTGCCCTGGAGTCACAAGGTCAAAGGCCCAAGCTGTATAAAGGAAGGACTAACCTATTCTGAGCTAAGGCTGGTATGAACTTGTAACCACAGAAAATCCGCTGTGTGGGTTTTGAAGGACTGACTCCTACCAAAGTCCGTGTTGGAATTTGGGGAGGGGGAGAGGTTGTAGGCTCTGGTGTGAGCGCTTAACCTACACTCATGCTAATCTTTTGTTGTTTTAATGTTTTCACTGTAATGCCTACATCTTAAGAATAAATGTGCTCGCTTACAAAGAGCTGTGTGGTAACATAACTGCTGGCAGTTAAGTTGGTCGTAAGCCTTCGAAGAGCAAGTAAAGTACAGCTGTGGGCCTGTTTAGGAAGTCTGGTTTGCTGAGAATACCACAATGTAGGTAGGGAACCGTGCAGCCTGGGGAAAACCCCAGTCACATGGGAAAGGGAAGTGGGTCTCTACTCAAGAGAGGTAACAAGTGGGAGTTGGAAGCCTAAAAATGGGTGCCATTGCTGGACCATAGAGGAGGAATAGAGGTGCAGTTGCCCTGAACTGTAACAATCACATCATGGAGCACAATTCATTTTACAATTCCTCCCGCCACCTGAGATTGCAAAAATACAAAAGGAGCTGAATGGCATATAGCGTAGAGCAGTTGAACTGGCTGACACCTTGAAAGGGACAGCTGTGGATTTCCTAGCCCACTCACCCCATTCCATGCTTATCAGCCAATATTTGTGACCAATATTTGTGCTTCTTTACTTCCATCAGCCTCGGTTAGTGAAGGAAAAGATGTGATTCTTAAAGGAAAATCAGGTTTTACTTCTCAACTATGTAGTTTCATAAATGTTCAAACATCATCAGATCCAACCAACTGTATGAAAAGCAAGTTAAATCAGCAAGACTATTTCAAGTGACCACATACAATACTGGCCATGACCGAAACATCACCTTCATTAATACTATGAGTTAACCTTATTGCTATTTAAAAGGCAACCTCTTGGGTTATGATCACAGTGTTACTCATGGACATACAGTAGAATTTAACTGAGCAGGGTTTATGAACTCTGGCACAAGTTTGAAACTCGTATCCTAATTAGGAGGTTTCAGATCAACAACAGAGACCTTGACCCTGCAATCAATCCTTGTATCAACAAGACTGCCACTGACCTCAATGAGAGTAACACACAGGAGCTACTGCAGAACTGGATCACATCAGCATTTTACTGCTATGAATATTTATACGCATCTAAAAGGAACACACATGACGTGGTACTAATTCATCTCAGCACCACACTTCAAGGTCAAAAGCACCTTGCCTTTAGTTTGGCACAAGTTACTTTTTATTCACACCCATGCAGTACAAATGGAGACTACAAACATAACTAATAAACCAGTATTTTCCCCAGGGTTTCAAGCAGTGATGGAGGTAAATGTCACTCGAGTGCCAACAATACGTAGAAACTGTCTTCATTCCATACACTATTTTAAAATGGATGCTACTTCTACATGCCATGGTGAACCAGGAATAGAGTAGGTTGCTGTGGCCAACAAGGGAAAGTTGCTCACCAGCAATTTCTACGATTTTGCAGATACAATGACAGAGGATTCTCACTCTTGAGTCTTGTGGTCTGCAAATTCTTTCAGATTTTGGCCCTCTGACATGGTGATAGTTAGAGTGCAAGACCCTCCTCCTGGTCAGCTTGCACCAGCAGCTACAGCCTCAGCCCTTGGAGTATTCCTACTCAGCTCCTGAACTGTGCGGGAAGCAAGACCTCCCAATTTATTTCCATTCAGAAATCAGATAAAATGTCTATAAAAACATCCCAAGGCACGCGACAATAAAAACCAGAACATAATGACACCACCTCAGAAACATCCCTGCAAACAAAGAAGGAGAAGGAGGCTCCACATGGTAAGTGAGACTCCAGCATGATATTTTCAAGAAGCAGATTCACAGGTGAATAATCTTCCCTTTTCAAAAAAATACCGTTAGTACAGGATTGTGACTCTTTGAGTGCAAGTAGCTGGACAGATGACCTAAAATGAATGTGAACAACACTGCAACAAGCAAAATAAGAAAAGGCCAATGCCAGATAAGCTACAAAAACATTGGTGGGAGCACCTTTTCTGACTGCAGAGGGAAATGACTGGATGGTTCTGAGAGCTGAGATAGGAGACCCAGAAGGAGATTCCTGTATGGATGAAAACAACAAGGAGTCTGGTGGCACCTTGGATGGTGTCTTTAACTGAACAGTTTTACTGCACAGTAATCACTAGCCGGGCATCTGAGTAGAGAGGCAGAGTGATTCTAGGAATCCTGGTCCTGCCCCTGTCATACTGCAAGACAGGAGACCACCAGCTGTCGCCTCTCGTAGAATGGAAAAGAAATGGAAGTTAGGGCAGATGTGGAAGAGCGTAGTAGTGTTCTCCAAAGTCTATTCACCAGCACTATGTCATGTTTTGGACCAAGTGACAAGACAGCCACAATTCCATAAGGAGACCCTTCCACGGTCTAATAGTCCAGGGGTTCTCAACCTTTTTCTTTCTGAGGCCCTTCTCAACATGATATAAAAACTCCACAGCCTACCTGTGCCGCAACTGTTTTTTCTGCATATAAAACCAAGGGTCAGCATCAGGGAGTAGCAAACAGGACAATTGCCTGGGGCTCCACACCACCGGGGACCCCCTCAAAGCTACATTGCCCAGGCTTCAACTTCAACCCCGGATGATAGCGCTCTGGGCTTCAGGCCCATGCAGTGGGGCTTCAGCTTTCCGCTCTGGACCCCAGCGAGTCTAATGCTGGCCCTGCTTGGATGCCCACCTGAAGCCTGCTAGCGGCCCCGCAGGGGGCCCCGGACCCCTGGTTGAGAACCACTGTAATAGTCAAATTGGGCCAACGGAGAGGGAAGAGATGAGGTAATATCTTTTATTGGACCAATAAAGTTGGTCCAATAAAAGATATTACCTCACCTACCTTGTCTCTTTCATATCCTGGAACCAACACGTCCAAACAACACTGCAAACTAACTGGGCCACATTCATTCCTGGGGTAGCTTTACTGACTTCAGTGGAGTTACCACAGAGGTGCATTGGTCCTCCCTACATTTCATGCCAGTAGAACGTATGGAAGACGGAAAGCTTTTTGCCAGTACCAGTTAATATTGCTTTTGACCTCACTCTGTCCCATATCAGAGGGGTGGCCGTGTTAGTCTGAAAGAAGTGAGGTTCTTGCCTCTGAAGAAGTGAGGTTCTTACCCATGAAAGCTTATGCTCCCAATACTTCTGTTAGTCTTAAAGGTGCCACAGGACCCTCTGTTACTCTGTCCCATATTAGCCCTCACAGCAGTAAATATCGCAGGGAAAGACTTTGCCTTGCCTTAGAGCTCCGCTGCCCACAAGACCATTTTAAATGCACAGCCAGGGACTTTTGCAGTCAGGTAAGGAGGAGACCACTCCGGCGGACAGGTGCCCTTCCTTCTCGCATCTCCACTGCCAACCTGCTTTGCCTGATCGTTTGCTGAATGAATCACAGCAGTGTCACCAGGGATATCAGGACCCTGGCCTGGTTTCACCATCTCCATTGGCTTCAAGGGCCATGTCTGCATGGGGGTGCCAGGGGAAGGGGGTTCATTCCATCCCACGCAGGGGTCACGGTTTGGATCAGTGGCTCTCAGCAGCACCCCCGCGGTACACACGGCTCCAGTCCCGCTTGGCCTAACCCCCCCCCCCCAATGGCACTGGGGCCCTAAAGTGGCTACAGCCACAAATCACAGGCCAAGCCCCTGGGACAAGGTGCGGGGGGGGGTCTCGGGCGTCTGCTCCCTCCTTAGCCCGGGGCACTGAGCCCCACGCCGGCCCCCACGGGCTGTGCCCGGGCTCCCCGCCACTGGCGGCAGAGAGAGGAGATGCTGCCCCCCCCCCCGGGGACCCAGAGCCCCCCCCGCCGCACCTCCCCGGGCCCGACCCCCCCACGGCACCCCCGGCACTCACGCACCGCGGCGGGGGCAGTGCCCGGGCGGGTCCGCTCAGCCCCGCTGACTGCGCTGGAGCCGCCGCTGCCAAACAGCCCGAGCCGCCGCCGCCGCCGCTGCCAAGGCAACGCCGGACCCCCCCGGCACGTGACTCGGGGAGTCCTGCACCACGTGACCGGAGCAGCCCCCGCTCCAGACGGGGAGGGGGCGAGATGGGCGGGGCCTGCGGCTCATCCCCATGGGGATGGCGGGGGGGAGGTCATCTCTCGGCGGGGGGGACAGGGGGAATCTGGGGCTCACCCCCATAGATGGGACAGGGGGAGTCTGG